TAAGGCCCATCATCAAAGCCCACTTCGCCATTCCTCTTCGGAGAAGCACGAAATGAGACCTGGAAGATCCTAGGACTATAAATACATTTCTTAGCAGCCCTAAACGAGTGTGTGCTCCTGTAATGAGATTTTGAGCCACCACTTCACGAAGTTTAACAGAAAGATTAACAGAAGAAACTTCTCACTTCACGGGATACTATTTTGGTTGAAAGGCTCGCACACGAAAATAACACTACAATGATATGATAATAGAGGTGTAAGCCGAACGTACACTCAAGAAGGTGTCTCAGGCATCTTCTATTCGATTGGTGGATTATGTGGAAAAGTTAAGGAAGCTCGGTTTGCTAATAAAAATGACTATCATAGTGCCCACACGTATATTCTCCTAAATTGTGATGAAGTTAGTCCATGGGAGGCGTAAGTATACATAATTTATAATTTATATATATACGACATTCAAATAACTAAAATTACTTATAAGTTTGTTTGTATATATAAAGTAAATTTGATAGTCAGGTGCGTGAAGTAATTTCAGATATTTCAGACAATAAATTCACTGAACGCAAAGATAAACATTTCCCCCATTGGTTGAAGATGCAAGTACGTAATAGATCTTAACTATGCAATAATACTTGACACATTTAATATATAATATAGTACTTATTTAATTTTACAGGTGGAGCATGGTGATACGTCATATCCGCTTTGGTTCCACGAATTACTAGGATGCCCTCTATCAATATTTACAACTTCGTCCATGTATTGCACACACGGATATATATTCCATACATTCAAATACGGCACTAAAAGGGCTACTGCTAATTATGGAGTATATGTGAAAGGCGAGATAGATTTTTATGGAGTGCTTCAAGACATAATAGATATTGAGTACCCTGGCTGCTTAGGTTTCAGATGTGTTATCATCAAATGCAACTGGTTTGATCCAACAATTGGACGAGGTATCCGGAAAAACAAATTTGGCACAGTGGATGTCAACCAATCTCGTCGTTATAATAAGTTTGAGCCATTCATATTTGCATCACAAGCAGAACAAGTATGCTTTGTTCCCTATGTGTGCGTTCGCACAACGGGTGTTCAATAATTATTTGTCATAAAGTTTCTCCAAGAGGTCGAATTATGGGGGTGGACGATCTTCCAATGGAAGAAGATCACACATATGATATTGCCAAACCAAGTGAAAGAACTGATCCCATACTCTTGATAAATCGTCAAAATAGACAAGTTGAATACCTTCCTGACGATACGGAAGAAGAAAATGACGAAGATGAGTTTGAAGAAAGTGATGAACTTAATGATGAAGAATCAGAAGACTCGTCATCTGAAAATGAAGTCTTGTAAAGATTGATATTTCTCATTTTTCATCAGAAAGACTCGTTATCTAAAATATTGTTATTTAGATATGTAATTCATATAATTATGTATATTTTAAATGTTTTATAAATAAATTTGATATAATTATATATAGATATGTATGTGGGTGGTTTAATTCTGATTCAGTTAACAACAAATTGGCGTTGATTCGTCGTTAAACCGTTGGAAATTTTAGGAAACTGATTTCCCGCTCCCGGTTTAGTTTTGTTATTTCAATTCCCGCGCCAGTTCCTGTGTCTGGTGGATAATCTTTGGGAAAAATTCCCGTGTCTTCTTCCGGTATGGAGATAAATGTTCCGCCCACACAGACCCAAAGTGCTCCACCTCCACCACCTCCAGCTCCAGGTCCACATCAGCGGCCTTTTTCGCATTTGACGGTGGACGATATTCTTGCACAGCCGGGCCGACACAGGCTTATCAGACTAGACCCAGACCTTCCTCCTGGAGCATAATGATAATATTATTTAATTATTTAATTTTTGTTATTAAACAAATTTTTGTCTAATGAATATTCGTTTCTGGAATTTGTTTTAGGTTTGGTACTCAAAGCAAGGCTGGCCGCACCATTGCTGATATCATCAAGTCTTACTTTGTTGAGTCGCATGCCAACTGGTCTCAGCTCTCACGACATAGAACCGACACATGGTTCAAAATATTTGTGGTAAAATATTTTTTTTTAACTTATTTTTATTTTAAGCCAATTTGAATTCAAATATTTAATTATGTGGTTTTTGTTTGTAGCAACGATATGATTGGGATGAATCATTGCATCATGAGGTGGAGACACATTTTCTTGAGAAATTCAAGTTTTGTCTTAACAACACGGTTTCTGACTGGAAGAAAGTGTGGAAACTCATTGGCGATGATGCGAAGCCGCTTAGCATGGACAGAACCGTATGGGATGGTTTGGTCCTTTTTGGAGGCTCCTGAAGTCGATAATTATTGCGGAGAAGTGTTCAAACGGGAAGCTCGCCAATCTTCCTTATACAGCTGGCCAAACACTGTTAGAGGGAGTTAGACTTCAGATGGTACGTAAATTTATTTTTTGTTTAAACTAAAATAGTTTTATAAAAAAAATTTTAATATATATTTATGTAGGCCGAGGAGAATGGAGGCAAACTACTTCCTACGAAAAAGGTTTTCGAGAAGTGCTACCGAAAGAAGGATGGTACTTTTGTCTCAGAGAGAGCAGAGCAGATCTACAATGAGGTGACATATAGGGTTACCGAGCGATAGACCCAGCTATCTTAGCAGCAATCACCTGAGAGTTCCTCAGTTCAATCTCGAGGATTGACCACTACCAAGGTTGATTGAATCTACGAAGAGGTATTAAAATAAATTTTATATTTATTATTTTTTTAAGCATTTCAAATTAAACACTAATCAAACTAAATTTAAAATGCAGGTTGCCCTTAAGAAAAACGGGAGAGTCCTAGGAATGGAATTTATTCAAGATGTTCCTACCGCTTCGTCATATGCTCTCCGCCGACGAGGACCAGAAGGTGATCCCATTGTTTTACGGGCGAATATTGCAACTCTAGAAAAGACTCAAGCCTCTTATCAACAAGAGGTTCAGGAGGCGCTCTCCGAGTATGATTCTATCTTTGAGATCATTGTCGTCGGGAATCTGGAGGTTGCAGCTGCTTTGAGAGCAAAACGGATGAATCGTGCAGCAGAAAAGGCGGCCAGAGCAGCAGGACAATGATCGAGTGGGCAGACAACACAAGTTTCGGAAACCGGAACACAAGTTCCATTAATGTATTGTATTAAAACTATTGGTAATTTATTGAATTTCAAGAATTTCTTTTTTTTTAAATTATTTGTAGTTTAAATTGAATTTTTAACGAACTTTTTATTTATCGGCCAATTTGTTATAATTTAGCGATAAATTAAATTCGACTGGTTAACGTTGATTTTACTTTGATTTGCCTTTTACGACGTTTTGAAATCGATATATATTACGACGATTTTCCAATGATTTTGCAACTGTTGACAATCGTCGTAAACCCATCGAGAAATTAGCTTTGATTTTACGACAAATTGTTTCTGATGATTTAACGATGAATTGTTGTGGTCCTATAATTACCGACGATTGAATCACGAATTATTGTGGTTATATAATTACCAACGATTTTACGACAAAATACGACAAAATTGCATTAATGCGATTAATTAACGGGGATTTTGATTTCATTGGGAAATCAAAGGTAATTAAAGACTTTACAACGATTACGATGGTCGTAAAAGGATATTTTCTTGTAGTGGTTATTCAAATCAAAATATGGAGAAATGAAACAAAAGTTGATTCTAGATCAAAACTAATATTTCTATCATAGAAATTATAATTCGTTACATATAATTTCTTCCAAAATAATATTAAACAAAAACTCAAGCTTAGGTGCAAAACCTAGTCAAACAAGTAATAAGGAAATGTGAAAAAGGAGTCATTGATTTTTACAACACAAGAAATGGGAAAAGTGCGGAACACTTCCTATAAAACAAGTCAGATTAAGGCTTGAATTGGTAACTTTGCGGAATGACGAAATTGCAGAAAAAATCTTACGGAATAGATTAAGCAACTTATAAGTCACTTTTCTGCGGAATGACTTTTCCTTTATATTTTTGTTAAGCAACTTATAGGATTTCTGCGTTTTTGTGTGTATTTTTTCATTACGCGGATTTTTGTTGATTGGCAAAAAACCTGCGGAATTGTGTTTAAAAACGCAATTCCGCCATTCCGCAGGTTACCAATCAGAGCCTAAGTTCTCTTATTAAACAAGTGAGACAGCAGTATATTTTATGTTGTTGAAAACTCAAAACCAAAGCAAAAGAGCATAGATGAAGTTACTCCAAAATCCTAAAACTCACCAAAAGTAATTGGATTCATAATACTTGAGAAAGATGCATTTTAAAAAGTACAGTAATCAAGCAATCATGCATCGATGTCTCTCACAAGGATTACAGTTTCCAGTAAACAAAACAGAGTTCAGCCCCAAAAATGCTTCCCATCCATCATCCCTAATGCCTTAAGACTGAATCAACAATTTTCAGTTTTCTGTACGTAAAGTTTCCCCAAAACCATTCAATCAACTACACCTAAGTACACCACTACACCTAAGTACAGTAATCAAGCAATCATGCATCGATGTCTCTCACAAGGATTACAGTTTCCAGTAAACAAAACAGAGTTCAGCCCCAAAAATGCTTCCCATCCATCATCCCTAATGCCTTAAGACTGAATTAACAATTTTCAGTTTTCTGTACGTAAAGTTTCCCCAAAACCATTCAATCAACTACACCTAAGTACACCACAAGCAACTGCAATTTTAATATAGAGGCAGCAGAACGTGATCCAGACACGAGACTAACTAAATGGCCCGATTTCAAACATTCTGAGAGGAAGAGTGAAACTTAACTACAGCGTCCTCACAAGACACAATATAATTGAAAGTATGCTTCATAACATCTCACCACAAAGGATCAAATTGCAAATTACGTTACTGCGATTCAAACACGAGCCAAACTAAATGCCTCGATGTCAAACACTCAAGAGTAACAAGAACTACAATGTCCCCAACAAGGGACAGTAAGCATACTCAATAAGTTAATAACAGATCAAAGAAAGACCAAATCAGATTTCACCATAAGCATCAAATTCGCAACTTCAACACAGAGACAATATAATGGGATTCAGACAAGAGCAAAGCTCAACTCTAAGTTAACCCAAATTCCAAACATTTCGAGAGAATTAAAAATCGTAAAGTCTACAAAAGACAAATCAAGAGATCATCATCACTTCTTAGCAGTTCCTTTGCCTCCTGCTCCTCCACCAGAACTCGCAGCTGCAGCTTGAGCAGCCTTTTTTGCTGCCTTCTCTTGCAATGCCTTTCCATCTCTGAAAATCACAAATCATAACACATCAAGCAACCAATACAGATTTAATCGAAACCCGAGAAAATGCCTTCTCTCCGATTCGATTTCTACCTTTCACGGCGTTGCTCCGGCGTCAATCCGTCGTCAGCATTCTTTCCTTTTCCTCCGGCACGAGCCGCGGCTCTTTCACGGTCACGCTCTCTCTGACTTCCACGTGCAATTTCACATCAAAATCAAAGAAAACAAAGGGTTTGTGTACATATTTATTAGATCTAAGCAACATTTTCGAACAAAAGATCTAGTTCAACAGAGGATAACCCAGAAAAAAAAAAATCCGAGGAAATCTAAACGAAAGAATCAACTTCTACTCCCAAAAAAATAACAATCGTATATCTTTTGGTTGGAAAAAAAAATCCCTAAATTTTGCAAGAAAAACCATTCAAATACGGAGGAGATTGGTAGATGAGCAATCGAGAAGGAAACACCGAGAGCATCAAATCGAAAGCTAACAAGCGATTTGAAGCAAGAGAATCAAAAGGATATGAGTCATGGTGAAACGAAGATGATTCCGCGTAGAGAAGAAGCGATCCGGTCAATGCAGAAGAAGCTCAATGAACTTGGGTTAAAAGGAAGTTTGACGAAATGATTTGGATTTTATAATGCGAGATATAGTCTCTTGAGTCAGTCAAGTAGACTTCGTCGTGAGCCTCTCCTTTTCCATATTCCTTGATTTCTCGAATATTTTTTCTTTTTTTAAATTAGATTTTAAATCTATAAAATAAGAAAATAAGAAAATTTAAATGTTATTAATTCAAATTTATTTTTTAATTTGTAATTTTCAAATTTTCAAATTTATAATTTATTTAATGAATATTTGGTAACAATTTAATTCAATTTAAAAAAATAAAGAGTACTTAAAAATAGTTTATTTACAAAAGAATGTGAAAAGTCGAAATTTTCTTGTATCATTATTGGAGGAGACCGAGAAGTCATGGATTGTCTTGGTAACAAAGTAAGATTACATTAACGCAGATTGTTTTCTCAATGATTCGAATAAGGTGAGACTTGGCCGATAAAATGTGCTTGTGTCTTCTCTCGTTTCATTTCTTCCTGATGTGGTAGTACTTAAAAAGACAATATGAATAAAAGATATGTAATAGTTGTTAGAGGTGGGTTTATTATAAACAAGGGTTTTCAAAGCTATTTGGGTTATCAATCCCTTAATCAGTGTAGTATAAAGGGTGTCAAACCATACATGTAAAGATAGACACTAGTTCATTTAAATTCAAACTTAATTCAAGCAGAAATAAGAATTTTGGTTGTAACAAGTAACAAATGCAAACTAAGCAAAGTTAAAACAAAATTAATAATGATTAAAGACTAAACAATAAACAAGTAAATAGCAAGATGATGATGAATGTAAGATGATGAAACAAAGGTCTTAGACAGGATAGTTGATTTAGGATGCATCAATGCAAAACCAGAGAGCTAATGACAAACAACCACACAAATACATTCAACTTAGAACTCAAGTGTAGATTAATCCAGTAATAATCTCTATACTAATCCACTTTCAAACCAAATTCCTATTTGTGAATTATGAATTAGTAAGTATTAGAAATCAGCTCTAATATATCATTTATGCATTAAACAATCATTTCCATGAGGAATAAGGCATAAACCTCTAATTAGCTTGGTTCAGGCATTTCATCAAACACATTTTGGGTGGTGAAATGCCTAAGATCTAGACCAAAGTAATTATTAGAGATCTAGCTTTAGGAACAGCTAATTAGAGAATGAAAAATGCATGATCTAACTCCTAAACTCCCTAATCTAACATCTTTGCACCCTAATATACCTATCTAAAACCTTATGAAAAGAGTACTCACTAATCATGATCAATACACTTGATCCTTTGCAACATGTGTTGTTAATCATGATTAGAAGCTTTGATTGATGAAAAGAAATGATAAGAAACAGCCTTTAATGATTAAAATCGAGATATCTCTTAAGAAAGAACCAAGTTTTACACAAAAGAGGCAAGTTCTCAAAATAGATAAAGAATAACTAGGGTTTTTGGTCCCATAAACTATTTATAGATAAGGTGAACAAACCGGGTCAACTGAGAACAAACCGGGTACTGATCCGGTCTTCTTGGGCTGTTGGGTGAGCACCTCGGTGTGGTGAAGGGTCCTAAGCCGAGGGGTTGATACCAAGGGCTGATGGAATCTGGGCTGAAGTGAAGAACACACCAAGAACATGCTTGAACTTAGGCTTTGATCTCGCTTGGGTTTTGAACCGTGTGGAGCAAAGTGTTTCTGATTTGGGTTCGTGACAGGAGGCCTCGATATCATTCACACCAAGGGGCCAGATCGAGGTTTAAAGTATTTCATGCGGACATTGCTCCTCAGTGTAGTACATGTCGTGGGGGGGGTGAAGCCGAGGTTTGAAGCGTTTCATTCGTTTGGCATATGCCTCGGTGTGCTCAAACCAAGGGGTCTAGGTCGAGGGGGACATGTCAAGAAGGGTCTCAAGGTAGTGAAGGCGAGGGATTGATGTCGAGGCCTGATCCAGCACTTAGCAAAAATCCAGATAAATCCTCATTAAAGTTCCCAGCTTGACACTTAGCCGTTTTGAGACTAGTTTCCCCAACAAATCATGCATTGGTGTTGCATGAACAAAAGGTCAGCCCGAGGTTTGGAACAAAATTTTCGCAAACAGGCCTCGGTATCAAAATATGTCGAGGAGCTCACACCAAGGCCTAACAGAATACTTAGCACCAGACATATCTCTTGAAACCCGAATTGAGCCGCTTGTCTTCTGCTCCTAGTAACTTTTAGCTCCGTGATCTAAATTAATCGAGACAAAGCCCATAGGCAAGATGAATCAACCAGCTCAAGCTTTGGTGAGGACCTTGATTGCATCCGGGGAGAGTAAGGTCTTCCAGACGGCCGATCTTTGAAGTTCACCAGAATGATCCGGAAATGGCTTCTAAACCTGTGTTCTCTCCGTTTTTGTTATCTCCTAGCTCAGAGCTCCAAATAGGGTGCTATTAAGCGTTCTGGAAAGAAGACACGAAGTTCTTCAATCTTGATGAAGACCCCAAAAAATGGACCGGAAGAGAAAGACATCATACTGAGTGATTTTTGAAGCACATCGGATCGGTCTAGAATGGAAGCGACACAGGTACGTCTTCTGTTAGCCATAACTTTCAGATCACTACTCCAAATTCATTTATTCTAACTGTTATGGAATCACGACTTGATCTTCTCTAACTTTTCAGAAGCTGCAGAAGCTAAATCGGACGGGAAGGCTTCCCGGCAAAGCGATCTTTGAAGCATATCAACAATGGAGATTTTTGGCCGAGAATTATGTGCGCGGTACGTGATTTTGGCCGAGGTTCTCTTCCCGTGGTATGGTTTTTGACTGAGAAAACATTGCCTGTGGTACATGGTTTTTCCAAGAGACTCCAAAATGCGATTTTCACCATTTTGATCCTATAAACACCATTTCATCACCTGGTTCACTTCCTCCACTCAAAATAACCTCCAAAAGTACTTGTTTAACATTCCAAAGCATGCAAAACTCTCTTGGACGTAATGCAAGCTCATAAGTCATAAAAAAATGCCTAAAGACCTAAAATGCATGAAACGAGACCATGATTTGGACTAAATATGCAAACTAAATGAGTTATTTTATGAATATATCAACTCCCCCACACTTTTCTTTTGCTTGTCCTCAAGCAAAAAGAACAAATGAGAGAGAGAGGTTGAATGTTTGGGAGTTCATATTCCAAAATGAGAGAGTTGATCACTAAAATAATTCAAAGCTCATTATCCTAGTTGCTAATTCTGAAAAGCAGTGCAAAAAAGATTACTCATAAAATAAATAAAGCCTAAGCATCAGCCTTCACAAGCAGTCCTAGTTCCAACCTTTAAACATTCATTAAAGCTTTATGTGGATCATGCTCATGCAAATCATGTGAACTCATTTGGCTTGGGACACAGGGTTTTGAGATTAAAATGATCTCAATATAAGTCACTGGCTACTCCAAGCAAAATGATCTCTCAAGAAATAGTATTCTTCGCCGCTTGAACAGCAACATCAGCCTCAACATCGCTCTTGGTGTTCTCATCAGCTGCAGCAATACACTTCTCCTTGCCTTTACTATTGGAGTGGGAAGCTACAACAAATGCCCTCTCATCGCCCTTGGATCTGGAAGCTACAACAAGTGCCTTTTCATTGTTTTTGGAGACCTTCTTAACCGCTGGCTTCTTGTAGGTTTTCTTGGTGCCTTCCCTTTTCCAACAATGCGTTTAAACCCTGGTGCTGGTGCACTCTCTTGCTAAACATGCTTCTTCCTTTCATTTGAATTTGGTTCAACACTTTTTCTCATACCTACAATACTCAGAGTTCAATGAGTTCAAAGAAGACATGAACAATGCCCAAACACAATCGATATTTCTCATAGAAAAAAAGGAACAGCTTTGAATTCTTGAGTTTGAAGCATGGAATCAGTTCACAGCAATGCACAGGACCCAAAAGTCTAGCACAAATGCATTAAAACAAAATAAATTCTCTAAAGCACCAATTCTCTTCAAGTTTTGTTCCAAAAGGCAAATATTCAAGAACTCAACATTTTCAAGGCAAAAATCCGATTGTCTATTCCAACCACTTAGCATCGAATAAATGAGTCCCAAGGTATCTAACAACCTTGATTGCGATTGTAAACGGGGTTGGTCGGTTTTCGTTTTATTAAGCTTCATGTTTTAAATTTATAACCCCTAAATGTCTGCAAGTGCACAGATGTGCGCTGTAGTACTTAGGGTATCGATCCACAGAGACTTAGTTGTTTCAGTACGAATTCACTGCTATGCTAAAACCAGATTAGAACTAAACAGGTTTGGGTTTTGGTTTTGGGTTTTGGTTGTCACGAAATCTAAACTAGGAAGCAAAGCAAGTAAAAGCAATTAAAAACGAAAGCAGGTAAAGCAAATAAAAATCGGTTATGAATGAAAGCAAATAACAAGCGAATAAAAGCAGAATGAAAATCTAAGGTTGTAAGCAATGAAAAACAAACGTTGGGGCTCAAGGGGAATTCGCATGGGTTCATGGTCTATGCTAAGTCGATTTTAAACAAATGATAAAGGTAATCAACTACGTATGTTCTAGAACTCGAGGCACGGAAGTATGAATAGCCTACTTTCGCAGCACTAAACAATTATCTCTCGCAACCCTGATCAGTAGGTTTCCACTCTGATCCTGGAAAGGAGAAGATGCAATAACAGAATAAAACTCATCAACATTCACAACTCAACTACAGGTAGGTTTCCACTCCTATAGAAGAATTGCTCGTTTCACCCTAGTTCAGACAATCAATGAAAACTTTCGCAACATATCATATCAGATCGGCTTCTAAGTGGTCAGCAAAGAATCACACAGTAAGATTAAAGGCAAACGAAGAACATCTAGAAGATTATAAATCCTAAATCTATCGATTCATAAGCAAAGACACATGAAATTCCCTTTGAACAATCCCTTTAAACCCAACTGGGTAACTACTCAAACATATTGTAACAAAGCATCATAGAGTATTGAAAGTGCAGGAAATTAAAGAAAAGAATGAAGAAAAATGAAGAACGGAGAAGCAGATGGAGGCGCGATGTCTTCCTCCAGCGGCGGCTCCTCCTTCAAGCGGCGGC